ATTATTATTATTATTATTATTATTTTTTTCAAATATAATTAATGTGATGGCAGCCATTCTTTGTGCCAAAACGAGGGACAGTAATATGCGAAAATAAATGTAAATATTTGTTTATACAATTTGAGGTGATTTGTGTAAATAATAATAATAATATTATTATAAGATTAAAAGTCTGGAAAATACAATAAAATTAAATCTTTACAAAAACTAAATAATGAAAAATTAATTTCCAAGACAGTTTCACAGATTTAATGAGACCTTCATTTTCAAACACACACACACACACACACACACACACACACACGTTTGTCAAACTGTAACACCGTGTGTCCCAACCAGGCATGACGCGATAAAAAGTATCTTTTCCATGTAGTTTTTGTCCTAACCACCCGCGCGACAGCAACACGTGACAATAAGCAAGCTGGGATTCTATTTTAGGAACGGTTTTTATTTACTGCGACGTCGCGGCAGGAACAACATACAAAATATGACCGTGATAATCTCAGGTAATGATTATGTGCTTTATCTTTACAAAAACTAAATAATGAAAAATTAATTTCCAAGACAGTTTCACAGATTTAATGAGACCTTCATTTTCAAACACACACACACACACACACACACACACACACACGTTTGTTTTTGTGAATTGTGGGGACATTCCATAGGTGTAATGGTTTTTATACTGTTATTATATATATATTAATTATTATATTATTGTTGCTTTTGTTAAAATAAAATGTTTTGTTAAAATAATCACAAGATGGTCACAAGATGAATATTTAGATTTAGAACTTTGCCTGTTGATTATTAAAAACAAATGAACAAACACAAAATCTGGATCTCCATGTCTGCCATGCATATCAACTGTTCCTGCTCATCTCCAGCCTGGATCTCTTCTCTCCACTTTCCCTAATTGCAGATTCAATTATTAGATTTGTCAGCATGTACGTTAAAACTGTGAACTCACTGCGAACCAACACGTGAATTTCATAACAAAGATATCACTCACTCACTCAAAACTGTCCATTCACATTTTAAGCATCTATGTTCCGTGTCCACTTTTCTTTTCTACACACTCGCCATGTTTTTGCTGTCACATCGTATGTACACTGGACGCGACAAAGCATTGCAAATCATTTGAATGTTGTGTCAGTACGTTATAAACAGAACGAGTCAGCAGTTTACTGTCTGGGATTTGTCGTATCGAGCCGCATCCAAGACAGCATCACTGATTCACTCGCGAATGGCAGCATCACTGATTTTCATGCCACATTATTTGAAATTAGAGTTCTTGTATTGTATTGCGTTGCGTCGCGCCACTCGCGTCCGGTGTAGACACGATGTAAGTTAATGTAGCTTTCTGATGCTGCGTTTGAATTTTCATGTCACATTATTTGAAATTAGCGCGGGCCAAACTTTTTTCTCTCACTGGCCGCCTATTGAGGAACCCTGCCCTACACCAACCATACACCCTAACCCTACCCCTTACAGGAAACTTTTTGCATTTTTACTTTCTCAAAAAAACTCATTCTGTATGATTTATAAGATTTTGAAATATGGGGCAATGTCCTCATAAATCACCTTCTGCTTGTAATACCTATGTCATACCCATGTCATTATACAAATTTGTGTCCTCATATGTCACAAAAACACGCATGCACACAAGAAATAAAGTGCTTGTTGTTGAAGAAACTGCTATAGACAGTCTTTTGGATATTATTTTGAATCTGTCTGTGCTTGTATTCTCTGATAGTGCTGATAGTACGAATTATTTAGTAGTCTTTCCAAACATTTCTTTTTGCTGGTTTACTGTACAGTCCAAAGTTTTCTGCACGGCGAAGTATCGGCAGTGGTGCGCCACGGCAAAAGAAATAATATTTTACTCGACTTGTGAGCTTGCAGTCTGAATTGAAGGTGATAAGAGGAAAATATTGTGCGGCACAAGATTATACAAGGGCAATAACTCTTAATAACATTTTTCTGTTGTGATATTAGCTGGCTACATGCACAACCATTTGTGACCATTTATCTGCATTTTAAAACTTCGAACAGAATCAGAATCTAAAGTTTGAACTGTAAAATACTCACCTTCACCAGGAAAAAGGACACTCCGTATGTGCGCAGGGACCTGGCAAGCTTCACATACTTTACTTTGGCCTCAATCTCTGTCATCTCACCGCAGCTTTTGTGATCCTGGTGAGGAGATTAAGATATGAACACTTCTCAGCCATTGTGGGATTTGAACCAACAACCTTTTGGTAACAAGCCAACTTAGTCTGTTGTGTTTTTAATCAGGTTTTAATTCACACTGGAGAGCTCGATATATGCTGAAAACACATAAAAACACGTTATGAGAAGTAATACTCAGATACACACACACACACACACACACACACATATATTGTATGTGTGTGTATTTATATATACATAATAAATATACACAGTACACACACATATATTATGTAAACAAAAACTTTTATTTTGGATGTGATTAATCATTTGACAGCACTAATATATGTATGTATGTATGTATGTATCTGAGTAACAGGGTTGAAAATCAAACTTAAATTACGAGCTAGTTTGTCTGGAATCAAAGTTTTGTTTGTCATTATTGCTAAAATTCCTATTAATTAAAAAAAAAATTTGTTTTCTTACAATAGCTTTGGAAATAGGGCTGAATGGTTGAGCTGAAATCACAGTAAACAATGTTTGTATGTAAGATTTATTTTTTCTTCTTTTTTTGCCAATCGTAATTAAAATCATACAGTTATCTACAGAATTGAAATTATCTATTGAATTGATATTCTGTACATTGTAATAAAACGTAATAAAACAATTTTAATAAAACAAACGTTAAAGAAATATTTTTAACAACTAAAAGTTAAATATTTAGCTGTATCCCATATTTTGCATTATAACACATGACATTTTTTCCAGTTTTTTACGACCACTGTTGTTTATTGCGATTTCAGCTCAACCATTCAACCCTGTTACCAAAGTTACTGTAAGAAAACAAAAAACTAAGAAATTTATCAATAATTACAAACAAAGCTTTGATTCCAGACAAGCTAGGCTGTAATTTCAGCTCGATATTCAACCCTGTTACTCAGATTTCATATTAATTTCATTTTTACAATTTTGTATAAAATAAAATTTTGATATTAAAGTTTAAAATTAAGGGGAAATACACAAATCATGGTATAAAATTGCATTTAGGCCGTACTTAGACATGTTCCAAATATTAATAACAAAGTTGCAAAAATTCCAAACCCCATAGAATGAACAGAAAATAAAACTGCTCATGTAATATTTAGCTTGACCTCCTGCAATCCACATTTTCTCCAAGGTTAAGACATTCCTTTCAGTGACCATGTGTTGAAATATTCAAAAACCCTTCATTTTTAATGGTTTCAGGCTGTTTTTTGTATGTTAGTCATGGACAGTGCCTAATAGTATGTTTTCTTAGAATAACGGATTGTGTAAAGCCGTCAGAGGGTCACGTACCTGAAAAATTCTCTTCTCCGCCCCCCTCTGTTTGATGTATTCTTTTGGTAGGAACTCCTTCAGGCTGCAAATACATTTCACATGTTTACTCTCATACTACACAAACATTTTTCCATCAGAGCAGAACAAAACACATGAGGTCATCCTGGCGGGAATTACATCTTCATAACATACGCCCACACCGACTCTTAAGGTTTCCAGACAGCACAGAATTCTTGCAAATAATTGTCTGGTCTAAAATGTAATCAGATAACAACTGAAAGAGCCTGTGTGTGTGTTACAGTGACAGTGTTGAATGGGCTGCATATGATACCGCAGCTACAAGGCATGTGGTCTTACTCTAAAAATCCTGGCTTGTGTTTGTGCTCCACGTGGGGACCGAATTGGATCTGTGCCTGAATTCCAGTGAACTCGCAGGCCTTATCAAAGGACACGGGGTGGGATCCGTTCAGAATGTCATCCCTGGCCTGAAACAGAGACAGGAAACAAGAGCAGATGTTACAGAATGTAATGAGGGTGCTAACAAAGATGTTACAGAAAGTATGCGGTGCATTCGCTAAGCAGTTGTTAGCACAACAAAGCAGACAAAAACATTTGAAGGGCCATCAACATCTTTAAAGAATATTCAGATCAGTATATTAACACAAGAATCTCTGTGCGGAGATGAGGTATCGCTAATAAGCAACTTTAGCGACATATAGCCGCGAGATAAAATGATTTTGTGAGTTGAGAAAGGCTTCTCATCTTGACATCTTGTTTTTTTAAGCACTAGCACACAATTTGTAACACGTGATTCCTGCAGGCATGCTTTAACAGACTTGCTGGGATTGTACTGACACAATCTTAGAGGCAACATTAGTTTCTCTATTTCAGCAGAGATACAAATGCCCAAAAGAAAAAAAAGGCATAAAAGGAGCAATTCACTTAAAAATACAAATTCGGTCATCATTTACTCACTCTCATGTCATTACAAATCTGTATGCTTGTTTTTTTTTTTTCTTTTAAGAGGAAAATTTGAAATTTAAAAGAAACTTTACACTATTTTTTCCAAACAAGTTCATACAAGAATACTATATAACAACTAATAACAATATCTGTCAAGTTCAAAACCAAACCAATCTAAACAAAACCAAAAAAGTAAACCAAACCAACCCACTCAAAAAAAAAAAACAACCCCCCAAAAACAAAAAGAAACAAAAAAACCCAAAACAAAAAAAGCCAAACTAAACTCTACTAAACCAAACCAAAAAAAAAAAAACTAATAAAAAAAACAAAGCAAAACAAAACTCAACTAATCAAACAAACATTAAACACACAAAAAACACCCTCTCCCCCAAAACAACAAAAAACCCAAAACAAAAACAGGCCAAACTAAACTCTACTAAACCAATCCAAACGAAAAATAAAATAAAAAAATTCAACCAAACAAGCAAACAGAAAACAGAAAACAAAGGGTTTCCAAATTAGGGTTTGTGAAGGAAATGCAGGGGGTTTGTGAGTTGATGAAAAGCTAATGATTAAATCAAAATACTTAAAATTACAATAAATAAACAATTTTAAAACAAAGAGAATCAAATAAAACACTTATTAAAAAAGTATAAAACCTTTTATTTTGGGTGACCAACATCAGAAAACCATGAAACATTCATTAAATATTGAAATATTAACTCAAAATCACAGGTGGTACTTCAAGAAATCATTTTTAGTCAAAGAGGTTCAGCTGCCAAAAAAGTTCAGGAATCTCTGTTATATGGAAAAGCACTTCGAGAAGATTCTTTAAAAATTCTCCTTTTGAGCTCCACAGAGTAAAAGGAACATTATATGGGATTGGAACAACATGAGGGCGAGTAAATACTGACAGATTATCATTTTTAGGTGAACTATCCCTTTAAGATGCTTCAATAACACTGTGTGGTGACACTGAGTGCAGTCTAATAGTACAGAGGGTCTCCTGATATACACCTGAGTGTAGTTCAGTTTAAAACCTGAAAGGGTGCATCTTACAGAAATATTTTAGTGCCTTCCACGCCGCCACCAAGTGAGCATCTACAAAACAAGCGGCATCTATTTGCAGAGCCAAGTTTGTGAGTTTTCAAACAATCTGGATGAAGTAATTATAAGAGCAGAGGCAGAAACGTACACACGCTTGTTTGTGAGAGTGTATACTTGGCCGATGTTGTGAGTGGGGACTGAGGTCATGAACGTTTTACATCATAAACAAGTCCGTGTGTGAGGGGCCCCGCCCTCAGGACATCCACCAATCATCTCGCATCGCTCCCAGATGACATCAACATGGTAACAGTAGCAGATACAGTCAGTGAGGGTTTATGGGAACACATCATGACAAACTGAGATATGACGCGGTCACGCCCCCAGCGTGGAGCAGAGAAATCCCCTTCAGCCTGCCAAACACTCCTGAGCGCATACATGTGCAGCAGTCTCAGTGTGTGTGTTTGAGAGCTGTGCTCTTCTGTTTCTCAAAGTATGTGGGTGTGTGTGGCACCATGTCAGAGAATTTCATGCAGGCGTGTGTGTTTACTACAGAGGAAGACTGAGGAAGTATTCTTCAGTCTGAGGAGAAGTGTTACAGTATGCGTGCATGTGTGTGTGTGTGTAGTGACTCGCATGCACCTTTTTACCAGCATGGACATACAAAACACCTCAGTAAATCTATCAATTACAAAAAAAGCCCATGGAATTCTTAAAAAAACAACTGTAGAGTAACATGTAAATACCATGTACACAAATTTGGTAATAGTAGCATCATGGTAATAGTAGTAGTAGTAGTGATTTCCCTGTTGAAAAACCCAGCATATGCTGGTTAGGTATGTTTTGATGCTGGGATGCTGGTTTAAGCTGGTCTTAATTAATACCATGAAATCCCTTCGTAAAGGCATTACCTTTATGAAAATTATCCATGGTTTTATTATAGTAAAAGTGCAGTAACCATGGTATTTTGGCATATTGATTACCATTACATTTTACAACAAATTCCATGGTTAAACTATGGTTAGTGTAGCAAAACCATGGTTAATTTGTGGTTAATATTGGTTTAACTACAGTAACCATAGTTTTTTGTTTCATTTGTAGGAAAACCATGGTCAATTTTCATAAGGGATACCATGTGTCTTGACATGGTATAGCAGAACCATGTTGCAAGAATATGATAAAGTACCATGGTATTACCATGTTTTTGAATGTATTATTAGGCTAAAACCATGGAAATCTGAAGTAGAAATGTAAATACCATGTTTTTGGACATAGGTAATAGTATAAGGTAATAGTGCGGTAATTCTTTTAAGTACATGGTAAATGAATATAGTAATCATAATAATACGGTGTCTATAGCTGGTCTCCCAGCCTGGCCAGATAAAAAAAAATAGGTCAAAACCTTCTAAAACCAGTTTTAGCTGCTTAATTTACTCAGCAGGAATGCTATACAAATACAGTAATCATAGTACATTAGTATATAACAGGGTACCATGGTATTATTATGTTTTTAAGACAAATATCATGATGATACTAGGTTTCTTTAACAAAGTACCATGGCAATACCATTTTGTTTTTGGAAATGTACCATGCTAATACCATGGTTTTCTTTAAAAATACCATGTAGTACCATGTACATTCTATACTACGGTAAATGAATATGTACCATATTTGTATAATGTTTTTGAACATGGTATTGCCATATTTTCTGGACAGTACCAAGGTTAAAAACACCATGCATGGTAATACAGTGTAGTATGTAGGTTACCATACTAATACTATGATTTTTGGTTACGTAAAAACCACAGCACCATGATATTGCCACAGTATTTTTTAAGTGTACAGTATGTGGAAACTTGACATTTTGTAAACACACATTTAATAACAAGGATACAGCCATGTTTTCCTTTCAAACCCAGAAATACTGACCATATATTGGCAAAAAAAGTGCTTATTCATCATCTTATATAAGTTATTAAGTGCAGGTGACAGAATATGTGCGTGTTTGTCAGTGGGAAGTTGCTCTGAAATCCTCAGGCAGACACACTAATGCATCTGCAGCGAGCCATGTGCTCCAGAGGCCGGTCAGAGCACTGCGGCGCGTCTGCTCCAACAGCTCACGGCCTCGAGGGAAACTACGCACTAGCGCAGAGCTCCTTGAGCGGACACACATTCACACTGCGCTACTCACACACATTTACATACATAAACATGCATGCATGAAGAGCCACTGGCCACTTTGTGACAAGTCCTTTTGACTCAAACCAGAGAGAGAACAAAATATGCTTGTGTGAATGTGTGACAACATCACATGTAAGATCATGTGCAAACTTAGCATGACGGGAAAAAAAAAAAAATCACATGATAAATTTCCTGGTGTCCTTGTTAAAAAAGTTTTATCGGTTGTGTTTTGTGATAAATATTTTAATCACATTAAACTAACCATCCATCAAAATTAACATGCTATTTTACCAGCTCTATTATTTTCTTGGCATCATGCTGGTTAGCTCCACCCACAATGAAACCTCATTGGCTCATAAAAATATGATCTTTTCACTTTTGTGACCTAAAAAAAAAAAACTATGCAAAAAAACTGCGAAAAGTGCTTAATTAGGTGAAGGTGTAAAAGTATGATGTAATAAAATTTCAAGCAATAATTTCAATAGTGTCTTTAAAAATGTTAACCCCCCCCAAACGTGTTTTAATGCTAGCTACAAGAAGTCATGAAAAACATTAGCATAGCTTCAGGAAGTGTTAAAAAATATGCTTCATTAATTGTGATTATTTTTATTGCACTAATCTAAACATCAAAATTAACGTGTTATTCTTCCCAGCCCTAATATTTTTATTGCTCTGCCCCCAAAACAATTAAACCTCATTGGTCCAAATTCCCACATAGATATACAACAAACATCACAAATTATTTTTATTGTGCTAAACTAACCATCAAAATATGTTGTGTTATGCTGTTTAGCTCCGCCCCCAACGGCATCTCATTGGTCTAAATTCCCACATAGATACTTATGATTTTGCTTCTCTGTGCTTTCTGGCATTTCACGTTTATTGCGATCTGAAAAACTACGCAATACTCTGGAAAAAAAAAAAGTGCCTAATTAGGAAGAGATGTGAGGGAAAAGTAATCCATACTGCCTACGGTGGTGGAAAAGACAATCGACAAATCAGCAACTGCGAAGATATGCACATTGCCTTCTGGGCTGACCAATAATTCATTCATAAGAGCTGTGTCACTATTTCCCTGCTTTCATAAAACTATCTAACACCTAAATGTCTGTGCGACAGTGGCTCTGAGAAATTAATTAATTGTTAGAGCAGGTGGTGATGACGAGGTTTTGGCAAACTGGTGCAATACAGCTAAAACAGCCAAAAAGACAGATAGAGGACAGACAGAATTTCAGTAAAAGAGAATGAAAACAAGTCGATAAAATTGATTATTATTGTTAAAATCAAGCATAATTATCAATAATTACACAGGGCATCAGGGCAAAATACTTCAGGTCAAGAAGCGGTCACTCAGCAAATGAAACCCTTTCCCTGCAAGACATTTGATGATTGCTTTGTTTCCATTCGTAAAGTCATGTTGGCTAGCTCCGCCCACAATGAAATCTCATTGGTCAAAAATCCTGCTTCACATAATTGTATATTTTATTTCAAATATGGTCTGATTGGCTGTGACCTTGTTGTTTTGTGGCATATTTAACTTTTTGGCAAAAACATGACACATCTAGTCAGTATGTGGTCTGAAATAGAAAAAGAGCACAAAAAGTGATCAAAACTGATCTTTTACCTGTACGTAGAGAAGGTTGAGCTGGACAGGATCACGAGAGTCTACATTCTGGTCAGAATAGAAGAACTTTCTTCGTAGAAGTAATATCTCGCTATCCTCTACGCCCTGCTCCCGAAATGTCCGACTGTGGTCCAGCCAGTTCACTGCAAATTAAACATTTGACCATGTTAGCATTAGCAACCAAATTCAAATTCACTTTTAATCGTATATTAACAACACAGTTCAAATCCAGTGAGCACATACTAAGGGGGTCTATGACACCAGTTATTATATAATTTAAAGATCTGGACTGTGTAAAATTTCTTTAAGCCTGTATAAGAATCTCTCAGTGTGGGTAAATCTGACGGGGCGTTTTGTTTGCTAATGTTTTATTTTCACAGTTGCCAGGAGTCTCACAATCATCATCTGTGTGAAGTTTGGCTTTCAGCTTCTCCATCTTCCTCTCATCTCGCAGGAGGGTTCTGTCTTTCTTCAGCGTTCCCATCCCATCCTCACGCTTCTCCTCCACCTGCTCTTGGATCAGTGAGTACTCCTCATAATTAGTGATTCCTGTGGAGCACAAGATAATCAGCATAATCTCTATCTGTCAGTCTTTCAAACTCTCCAGCACAGGTTTTGTATGAAACTAAATAAATAGTTTGTATGAAACTGAATAAAAATCATTAAGCTTACAGGAATTTATGAAAACAGCCTGATTGTAAATCATTCTGGAAAATAAAAAGAAATTAAATAAAATGTAAATGAGGATGCTAATGCTTTAAGTTCCATCACATTGTCGCTTAAACTGGCCATTTAAACTGAAAAGGACCATGTAAAGTCATATTTTTCATGTGATGCTTAAGAGTCATAAATCCAATATTGGACATAACGAGAACAAAATAAAATATATTTTGTTTATTTGCTACTAGTGGTGTACCGATATTACAATCCTGGCAGATACCGATAAATGGCAAATATTAAAATTGTATACTATTTTGTCTCAATTATAAACAATAAACACTAAAATCGATCATTTTAAATACTACAAGTAAATTCAGGCACCACAACATTATAATATACAGTATGAAAAATGTATATTTATTTTGAGATTTGCTAAAGATTACAAAAGTTTTTAAAAATTAAGTTTAAATGATCTAAATGTGAAAATAGATACAATTAACATAAATAAATACCTAATACAAATTTACCAAATACAGACCTTTAAGTTAATTAAGTTAAGTTAGTTAAGTTTTAAGTTAAGTTTTAAGTTACATTTTATGTTAAGTTTTAATTTGAATTAAGTTGAGTTAAGTTAAGTTAAGGTGAAACAAATAAGAAATAAAGAAAAACTCCAATATCGTCTGATGACCAACACTGTTACTTTTACTGTATACAGCATTTTTAAAAACATTCATTGTATCAGCAGTGGTGTATTCCAGAAAGCAAGGTTAACTTAACCATCTGCTAAACCCTGAACTCTCGGTTGAGTAACCCAAACCTTGCTTACTTGAGGTATGCTGGTTCCAAAAACGCGTCCAGGAGTAAGTTCATTCAACCCAGAGTAAGTTCCTGGTTAACACACAAGACATTCTCAACAGACCGACGAATCGCCGAGTCCCTATGGAAACGGACACTAAGAAAAACCGTGCCATGCTGCTCCTTTCTTCTTCTTTTGTTCATTTGCATACTTGGTTCATATCGCCACCTAACTGGTGGTTGTGCATGCATTTTTCTTTTTTTCCCCGTTAAATCTTTAAACCATGAGAATAAGAATTATATTGTTTGTTTGATGCAAATTTTATAATATGTCATATCAGAAATGTATTTTTATTATAGAAATACATTATAGAAAATGCCGACCCATGATGTGTGAGATGATAAATCATAACATTAGAACAGGCACCTTCCGAGAAGAGACCTGCACTATCGCGGGACCCGCGGGACAACACTTGATGGGCGAGTGCGGGTGGGTAGAGACTTGTGTGTACGGGATGCGGGAGTATAAGTGTGTATTCACACTAGGCAATCTTAACCGTGCCCGAGCGTGGTTGACCCCCAAAGCCCGGTTCATTTGACTAGTGTGATCACTCCGTGCCGCGCCCGGACGTGGTTCATTTAGCCGGCCCTGGCCCGGTAGGAAGAGGTGGGCCTGATCGCGTTTCAGTTGGGCTCAGGTGCGGCACGCATGTAGTGTCGGAGCGTGGAATTTCTGATACGTGCAGCTGCAGCATGATTGCGTGAACATTTCTGAGCAGCAAAAGTGATAGCAAAGCAATATACTGTGAGAAGGCCGTGTGTTACCGCGTCCCAAATGACTCAAAATAATAAACCACAAAGTTAACAAAACGATGCACTCCACTGTGCTGAGCGAGAGTGCTTCTGCCTTCACGTGCTATCGGATACTTCCTATTTCCCACTTATGCAGTTGTGACTTTAACAAAACGATGCACTCCACTGTGCTGAGCGAGAACGCTTCTCTGCCGTCTTCACATGCTATCGGAAACTTCCTATTTCCCACTTATGAAGTCATGATTACGAGCCTTTTTACAGTCTATGTTACGTGCATGTTGCATTCTTTTCTGTTAAAAATAACAGTGAACAGTGGTTTGTAAAGCCTAAATAATTTTATCGGGAGCATTCATGTGAGCGCTGCTGCAGTTTAGGCCTACACCAAATGCTCTCATTGGTTGAGACGCGTGATGACGCTCATCCCAAGCCTGTACTGATTAACATCCCACCCCTCCTGTGACCCCTCCTGTGTGTACATGTGTGTGTGTGTGTATATATATATATATATATATATATATTAATTAATCTAATTAATCACAAAATAAATTTGACTGTGAAAATACACACAAAATATTATTTAAAGCTGTTTTTGTGTTAAATGAGAAAGTATCAAGTAGACTTTACAAATTGTAGCTTTAGAAAGAAATATTTTATTTGATTCAACAATTTATTACACAAACATTTAGGCTCACAGTGTCAGGCCTAACGTAAACTATGGAACATAAAAGAAGATAATTTTAGAAACATCTCAGTATTTTTGGTTCATACAATGAAAGTCATTAGTAACTAAAACAGCTTTGTTACCAACTGTCTTCAGAAAACCTTCTTTTATGTTCCACAAAATAAAGGTTTGAAACAACATGAGGGTGAGTAAATGATGACAGAATTGTAATTTTTAAATTAAATTAAAATTTTTAATTTGTTATTTTGTTTTTTTATGAAATGATACTCTAAATAAGAAACTAAATCTGCCAGCAGGTGGCGGTAAATGTCGTCATTTGATTCGTTCAAATGGCTGATTCATTCAGGAATGAAGTAAACGGCTCTATGAATAGACTATTGAATCATTGGTTCACACGATTCGTTCAAAACGCGGATTCATTCAGAAACTAAACACTGCTGTGTTGTTCGGAGATGCGCGACAATTCTGCTGTGGCTTTAGGTAATATGCACTCTGCAAAATTGAGCAAAAACACATAATATTTTGTTTAAAATATAACAATATCAACTTCTTATTTACTGAACTGTTGTATAAAATCACATTAAACTCATGATATTCGGAACAAAATCAGCACTCGTGTAATAGGCTACTGCTCTCGCTGCTCGTGTGATATCGTATGATATAAATATGAGATAGAAACTCATACAGGGGGATTTTTTGCACCAATATCTTGAATTTTAGGGCATTACTGCATTTATGGAGTTGTTGCCCTGCATCTTATTTGTGAGCTGTGGTGTGCCTACTTTGATGTTTTCGTTCTTATTTTTGTGTGGTAGAGCACCCACATTGAGCTTTTTTGGCCTAATTGATGTGCACTCTTGGACTGTTTTTTGTTTTATAACTAATTAAGTTAACACGTTAAACAGACAGCCCTAATATATATATATATATATTACATAACTATATTGTAATTATATACAATATTGTTCGCAATCTGTCACACACACTGGAGTCTCGTCAGTAGGTCAAGCATGTGCTGAGAGTGCTGAAGTGAACTAACCCTGAAACAGAACCTACTACGGAGCTGGTTATGTTCAGTGAATAAGTTGCTATGGCTACTTACATAGCCTGAAAGTTACCTCCGTTTTTGGAAGCGAAAGCTGAGTTTATCCGCTTACTTACCATTAAACATACCCGTCACATAACCTGCTTTCTGGAATACCCCCCAGTTAAGTTTTAAGCCCAATATTTATGGCAAACTTGACAGGATAAAAGAAGGACCCACCTATCCTACTGCAGATGGTGACCAACAGCTCCCCTACTGTTTTGGAGTCATCCACCATTATGGTTTTGATGGTTCCATCCAGCATTTTGATCTTCTGAGGTCTCTGTTTTTTCTTGTACTCCAGGACGTCCTGTGCATGATGAGAATAAGTGCTGAAATGAAGCTTAGAATCACAATGGAAATAAAAACTTACGAAAGTCTGAAGAGAATACAGATAAGTCAAATAATGTAATTTACCCCGTTCCGCAGCATGTAGTAATCAAGGGTGCGCCCTGATTCCAACCAGATTCCTTTCCTGGGGTCATCATCGGACAGGAAGAGCCCGTAATCCGATGCTGCAATAAGTTTTACATAATTAAAACAACAACTTGCCCCATGGAAGCAGATACTAAATCAAAGAGATCCGGTTACGTCTACAAATACGGTCGTAATAAATATCAGACTCTTCATTAAACCACAAAGCAGTTTGTCTTTGATCCTAAAAGAAACAATTGACATTTATAAGATGAGTCCAATTCATTGTGGCCATTGAGGGCAGCAATCATGTGCGTCGCATGGGAAAACACTCATATAACTGTAGCTGGCCGAATAATGAATGTACACAGAGTGGCGGAGCTGCAGACTCATCCCGAAGTGATGACTCCTGTTGAGCTGATAGCGCACAGGAGTCCATTTCGCAAGCTCCAGCAAGCAGAGAACATTAATGCTCGACTTTGTGGCCGTTTGATGACTTGAGTGGAGATAGTAGTTAACCATTTAACAGGTTTTCACTGTAGCATTTTTACAGTCTTTTACTGTTAAATTCACGGTCATTTTTTACAGTGTACCTTGTCCACTTTGGGCCTCTGGAACTCGCTCTCTGATAATCCTGCAGGCGTCGTAAACCGGAGTTGAGGGCTCAAACTGCATCGTCTTGACCACATTGCACTGTCGCACACAAATCTTCAGCGACAGGGCCACCATCGTGACTGCTGCTCGAATAGGAGCACCCACTAACACACCTGTAGAGACCAAAAGAAACAATCTGTCAGTTTCTCTGAAATGACCAGCACCCGTTCATTCTTTGAGGTCCACACCACTACATCAAAACATGTTTTAATCTGGATTAACTGGAGCAGACGTAAATGTGAACACAAGTGATTTGCAGTTGAGTTCAACTCTAGCACTGGTTAATGAAATATGCCTGCCACTGAAGATAAGAGAGCGAGATCAGAGCTTTGTGTAGGCTTACAATATGAGCTTCTTACTGCCAAGAGACGGCTGTAATGTAGTTATTAGATTAGTAGAACAGCACTGCCCTTTAAATACTGAGCAGAGGAAAAGATTCTACTGCCAACTGGGTGTTTAGCCTAAGCTCACTCAACCTCAACCAAATATCAAAGCTATGAAATATAATCTTTCCACAAGAGAGAAACCTTCCAGTTTTAAAAATCAGGTAAAGTGGTTATAGAGAGACTAAGATCAAGCAGAATATTTCTGAATTACGGTAGTGTTTGATTGACGCTACAAGATATCAATAGAGATCAGCAAATCACAAGATCAGATTCATAACCATCAAACTCGGAGCCGAAATCAGATTGGCGACAGACATAAGAGTAGAGAAGTGACTAGTAACTGAGATCAGATTCATATCAGAGATCAGATCTGCTGAAATCAGACTTGTAACTGACATGAGATTTTTACCTGAGATTTGTTTGGAACTGAGATCAGACTAGTGACTGGGGTCAGATTTGTATAAGAAATTTGACTCATATCAGACTCGCAATAGATCAGATTAATACCAAAGATATGACTCCCAACAGATCACTCAAAGCAGCGATCAGATCTGCAACAGAAATCAGACCCTGTTGAAAAAAAACCCAGCATATGCTGGTTAGGTATGTTTTGAATCACTGCAGCTGGTTTGAGCTGGTTTAAAATGCTCCTGCTCATAACCAGCTTATAACCAGCTCAGGACCAGCTTAAACCAGCTCATGACCAAATAAAGACCAGCTTAAACCAGCTCAAACCAGCTGTCATGCTTCAAACAGCATATGCTGGGGTTTTTTTCAACAGGGGATTCAGAGCAGAGATTTGACTTCTGAGATCAGAATTGTATTAGAGTATCAAATTCGCAACTGAGATCAGATTATACCAGAAATTTGACCCATAACAGATCACGCTCAAATGAAAGATCAGATTTGCAACATAAATCAGATCCAGAGCAAAGATCTGACTCGTAACTGACATGAAATTTGCATCAGTGATTTCATTCGTAACAACGATGCAACTCATAACTGAGATCAGACTCATAACTGAGATCAGGACTGTATAAGAGATTTGACCCATACCAGAGATCAGACTCATATAAATTTGACTCATAACAAATCAGACTTAGAAGAGATCAGATCTGCAACAAAAATCAGATTCAGTGCAGAGATCTGACTCGTAACTGACATCAGATTTGTACCAGAGATTTGATTTGTAACAGATCAGACAATATTTGCACCAGAGATTTGTTTGTAACTGAGATCACGTTTGTAAAAGAGGCTTGACTCGTACCACAGATTTGACTCCCAACAGATCAGACTCAAAGCAGCGATCAGATTTGCAACAGAGATCAGATTCAGAGTAGAGATCTTACTTGAAACTTAGATCAGAATCGTATTAGAGATTTGACTCATAACTGAGATCTAAATCATATCAGAGGTTTGACTTGTACCAGACATCAGACTCACAACTGAGATCAGATTTATACCAGAGATTTGAACTGTAACAGATCAGACTCAAATGAGAGATCAGATTTGCAACAGAAATCAGAGCACAGATCTGACCTGTAACTGACATGAGATTTGTACCAGTGATTTTATTCGTAACAGAGATCCAACTCTTAACTGAGATCAGACTCATAATGGAGATCAGGATTGCATAAGAGATTTGACTCATACCAGAGATCAGACTCATACTAGACATTTGACTCATAAAAAAGTCAGACTTAGATGAGATCAAATCTGTAACAGAGATCAGATTCAGAGAAGAGATCTGACTCGTAAATGAGATCAGATTTGTACCAGAGATTTGATTTGTAACAGATCAGACACATAACGTAGATCAGATTCATACCTGAGAACTTACTCGTAACAGAGCACAGACTTGCAAAAGAGAACAGATTTACAATTAATATCAGATAACAAAGATCTCGTAACCAAAATCAAACTACCATCTCACCTGTATCAGATTCTTATATGCATCAGATTTAAAGAAAATGGTTTTGTTTCTCTGAGGCCTCACAGGGTGAAGTACACCAGAATATGGGTAGTGCTGTAGTAAAAGACCCTGGCCAGATTCTGTGGCACTTCCACTTGACAAAGTACTTTAAAATCAGTATCAAACTAAAATAAAAATCAGAAACTCAGACCAAATAGAGGAGACATACTCTCAAATCAAAGAAACCATTATAAACAGCCCAGAAATCACAGTCAGACAGTCCAGCTGAAGTGATTGAGAGTCAGGTATGAAGTGAGATGTGTCTGTCTGATAGTATCTCACCAGCGCCAGGAATACTTTAACAGAAGACAGAGAGGACTAATCTTTTTTTGATAATGGACTTGTGAACGAGCTCCACATTGTCTACTCACTCAGTCACCAAGTGTGCATGTGCGCGGGCACACACATACACACAATAATAAGCAGGGAGAAAAGCTCTGTATAGTCCTTTCATTCCTAGTAGGGCACACAAGGGACATGCAGAGGTATTGTGGACCAGATGAGAAGTCACACAGAGACCACACACACATTGGGTTTCAATGTTTTATGGGGACATTCCATAGACGTAATGGTTTTTATACTGTACAAACTGTATTTTCGATTGTTTAATGACTTACTACATGACTTCCAACAAAAATTAATATCTGAAAAAAATAAAATAATAAAAATGCAAAAATATAAAGTTTATACCTTGAAAATATTGTAAAAGTTTTATATATATATATTAGGGGTGTGACGAGACACTTATCCCACAAGACGAGACACGAGACTGGGTTCACGAGAATGAGACGAGACAAGATTTTTAGACTTTTTTTTAAAGAATTCCTCAATGATGAAATATATAGGGAAAAATAGATAGCCTCTTCAGGAACTCGAGCTGCGTCGAAAACGCTAGGGGAACGCCTTCTGCGACCCACGCTCTGAATCACATGTGAAATCAGTCCAATAGCTGAACGGGACGTCACGGCGGATGATGTCATGACCAGGAAGCTATAAAAGCACGTGCGGCGGAGCCAGCGTCAGCTTTCTGTCATTCAGCGAAGCGCTCTGTGTGTGTCAGTCATATTTATTGTTGTCTGTCTATTGTGAGAAAGTCTAATAAGCAGCTATGTCTAAGGCTCACGCTAAGACAAAGCATGCAAAGGGCGAGTGCAAGCCACGTTATAGGTTGTGTGTTCCTCCCTGCCCAAAGAAAACGTTACACACAGCCTGTGCGTGGTTTGCTTGGCACACCCCTAATATATATATATATATATATATATATATAATTATACTAAAACCATATGAAACCAAACGATACATTACACGCACACACACATAAACATACAATTAGATTTTTAAAAGATTTTTGCTTTTTTTTTTGTTTTTTGTTTTTTAAATCACAGGCACTCTTATACATCCTTGGCCCTTCAGCTGTATTGTGAGAACAATTGTCTGACCTTGCTAATGTACTGGCATGCACAATGCACATGACCGCAAATCTATGGTTCATATATGACACTGAGTCTGCAAGATGGAGAAAGCAAAGTGACATACCACCTGCCCCCTTAATCTCTCGTCTACAACCTCCCAGAAGCCCCACACTGGGCACTCCCATTTCTCCTTCTGGCCCTTCGTGACAGACACTGCAAAATACCTCTCATTTCTTACCGAACTTCCAGCCAGGCTCAAAGCATTCCACCTCTCACACTGTTCAACCCCTAAACAGCATGTGACTCTCTACATGCAGTAATAATTGACTCCTGGGGGACACTAGGAAAGCAGGAATCGCCACAGTAATATAAGAATTAACCAAAGCCCTGTGCACTTTTTCAACTGATTGTGTTGAAAAATATAGGGAATGGATTTAAATACGGTAAAATGTACTGTTTTAAATCTAAATGTCAATAGGCTTTCCATTGCTATGTGGTTGCTAAGGTGTTCTAAGTGGTTGCTAAGGCATTGCTAGTTGGTTTCTAGAGTATTCTGGGTAATTCCAAGGTGGTTACATACAAGCCACTATGATAATCAGGTCCACAGACATAAGTGTGAATATCTTGTTAAATTCTGTCGAAGAAGATTCCATACATATCTAGGTTTAACAAGAGGTTCAAATGTTCAAAACTTTAAGAATGATAAACTGCAAACAGATTTGATTTGCTGTCTACACCGGAGAAGTAAATTAAACTCAACTCAGCCTCTTTCCTTAAACACCCCCACCCCCCCCCCCCCCCCCCCCCCCCGCCCCCCCCACCCCCCCACCCCCCCCCCCCACTCAACTCTGCCTCCTTCCTTAAACACCACCACCCGGGATTGACTTAATTATAGAGACTAAAGGTGGAGTTGGGGAGGTGGAGGGATGCCAGAAGATTTGTCAAAGGGGTGGGTGAGGTAAGCAGCCATTTATATAACTGTAATGTCATGCTAGTTACATTCAAATCTTTCATTTGGGGCTCTCTAGTCTGGATGCAACACCTACTCGGATTGCAAGAATGAGACAAATCATAACTGTTGATGATTTCCCTTGATATTAATAGTAATTTTATTCAAGCTTTGTAGATTCACTGAAATGTATCTGATCTGTCATTGGATTTATGCACCCAATGGACAAGTGTGTGACTGGTTATAATGCTTATCTGGACTGGACCAGACCAGACCAGACCAGACCACAACACAACACAACACAACACAACACAACACAACAAAACAAAACAAAACTAAACTAAACTAAACTAAACTAAACTAAACTAAAAATAAACAAAACAAAAAAAAAAAC